GTCATGATCTCAGGGTCCTGGGATTGAGCCCCGCATTGGGCTCTCTGCTCAGTGGGGAGCCTGTTTTCCCCTCTCTCTGTCTGCCTCTCTGCCTACTTGTGATCTCTATGTCAAATAAATAAACAAAATCTTAAAAAAAAATTTCCCTGATTGTCCTAAAACATGTTATTTACAGTTGGTTTCTTTCCATCATAATCCAGACAAAGTCCATTTACTACATTTTACAGCCCAATTTTCTACTGACAGTAGACAGGCCACACCTACTTTTAAATCACTGTACAGGAAAGCATGAAGATAGCCTTATTTGCTGAAAACACAGTTTGGCAACACAGAACCTGTGTAAACCTGAACAGGATCTCGCCATGTAAAATTTAATTCCTCCCTGATCAGCAAAGCAAAATTGGGAGCTATGTATGACAACAGCAAAATAAACTTTACTTAAATGATTTCTTTTTAAACCGAAGATTTAGTATACTTTCCCCCATCCCTAATTGTCAGCCACATGGTCTTGTTTTGAAGCATTTAGGGCATCTGCTACTTGGGCTGTTGGAGTTTTATATTTATGGGCACAGAACAGCCTGTTAGGGAAGTATTGATTTTTTTACGGCAGTTACAAGACGCTGTGTTTGCAAATGTGGAAAAAAGGGCCCACTTTATATTTAGTAAGAATGTTGGTTCCACTAAAAATAGCAAGAAAAATCTTAACCTTGAAGCACAATGAATGCCGTGGCTGGGACACAGTAGTCAAGACTAGCCTCTTCCTTTGTAGACTATTTTGTAAGCATCATACTAATGTATGAAATTTGTATGCCCTCCCCCTTCTCTTGACAGGGCATTTTTAGTCCTTCTGCTTGGAAATGAAAATACTACACATTTAAGAAAAGGTATTTACTTTTCACTACTTGGTCTTTACTCTTCAAAAGTAAATTATTTTATCAAAACCACAAGGAAATGTCACCTGACACCTGTTAGGATGGCTACTGTCAAAAAAAAAAAAAAAAAAGAAGAAGAAGAAGAAGAAAGAAAGAAAGAAAGAAAGAAAGAAAAAGTGGGATGCCTGGGTGGCTCAGTCAGTTAAGCATTTGACTCTTGATTTCAGCCCCGGTCATGATCTCAGGACTGTGGGACTGAGCCCTACATCAGGCTCCGTGCTGGGTGCGGAGCCCGCTTAAGATTCTCCTTCTCCCTCTCCTTCTGCTCCACCCCGCCCCACCCCCACCCCACCCCCACCCCACTCACACACGTGTGTGCATACTCTCTCTCTCTCAAAAAAAAAGAGAGAGAGAGAAAAGAACAAGTGTTGGCAAGGACGTGGAGACTGGAACCCTTATGAACTGTTAATGGGAATGTAAAACGGTGCAGTCACTGTGAACAGAGTATGGCAGTCCTATAATTACTCCATGATCCATTGCTCAATAGTAAATCAAGATAAGATCATTCATGGTAAGATTTGAAAATCGTACAGCTCTGTGCTTAAAAGCAGAGTCAATTACATGTACCCTTTATTCCTTGTTCTCAACAGAAGGGAAAAACCAACTCTGTTTCGACTTGAAGAATGCAAGAGTTTCCACACTTCTAGGTAAGTACTGATGACCAAAATCTGATTTAAAAATACTGTTCTGTAAAATTTCTGTTTGTGTTTGTGTATTAGACTAACTGGGTATTTTCAAGTGGCAAAAAATGTATTCAGTAATCTGAGTATTATTTCCTCTTTGCAATTTATTTTCTAAAAGTTAGTGTTTTTTGTATCAAACTAAAAACCATGGAGGCTCTTGACTACTTAAGTCATAAAGCTTCCTTGCTTTACTAAAACCGACAATTCATTTTTATCAAGATTTTCTTGTTCCACAGAAATCGGACAAAAAGTTTAAAATAGGAGATTTAAACACTAAGCTCTGTGCAGGTATGGTCTATTTTTTCTTGTATCTCTCCAAATAATGTGCACAGAGCCAGTGCCTCACGAACTAATAAATGTATTATCCTGTTCCATTAAGAAATGGATATCTGTAATTATCTGAATAAATTCTTCTTTAGCATTCCAAATACTCAACAGGACATATTTATAGGTAAACCAAATTATAGCAAATAGATTTTCATATTTCTAAGCTGATTTAAGGTCTAAAAGGGGTGTTAAAACAGTACTCTGAATACTTAATTTTTCTTACCATTTTGTAAGAATATATGTATGTTGGAAGAGAGGCTTCAACATTTCTGAATATTTCCCCATTCTAGTTGTTGCACAATAGCAGTGACCTTTAAAATTCACCTTGTGTTTTGGAAGTCTCAGAAAAGTCAGGACACAACTCTAGGGAAATAACCCGAAAACCAAGGAATGAAGTGAAAATTTACACCCACCCTGTATTTGAACTAGGTCCTGCTGGGAATCCATAGTTGAGTCTAAGGAGCCTTTCTCTCTCTCTCTCTCTCTCTCTATATATATATATATATATATTTTTTTTTTTTTTTTAAGATTTTATTTATTTATCACAAGTAGGCAGAGAGGCAGGGGCAGGCTCCCTGCCAAGCAGAGAGCCCGATGCTATGAGGGGCTCAATCCCAGGACCCTGAGACCATGACCTGAGCTGAAGGCAGAGGCTTTAACCCACTGAGCCACCCAGGCGCCCCTAAGGAGCCTTCTAACAGACTGCCATAACTGAGCTAGAGCTAGCCTCTAGGGCTGGGAGAACAGAGAAAGGGGAGAGTATCTAAAGCAGTGCTTTTCAATCTTTAGCCAAAACCACCTGGAGAACCTGTGAAAACTCAGCTGCGTCCCACTCTCTCCGTGATTTTGTTTCAGTAGAATCAACAGCTCTGGGGCGGAGCCAGATGATTTCCCTTCCTCACAAGCTCCCAGGTGCCGTTGCTGCCGGCTTATATGAGAACCAATGTTCTAAAGAGTACTGGCATAATAACATCTTGTTAAATTAATGCCAAATGCAGTATGGACACTACAGGGCTTTGAAAAACAACACAGAGAATGAACAAAACCTAAAGACTGAAAGGAGTACTCTTCAAATAAGACAAATTCCTGCTCTTTTTGGGCTGACTCTAAAGATACATCGTGGACTTCTGGCCGGCCTTAGACAGCAGGAGGTTGCTTTCAAGGTGCCAACTCACTTTTATTTTCTGAAATTACCAGCAAGTACCGAACACTGGGCTCAGTTTTATATAACAAGGCTTCCTCAAATTGCTATGAATATTGCTATGCATATATTGGTCAAAAATCACTCTGTAAATAAATGGAAGTAAAACGCTAATGGTTCTATTTTCATTTACAGAAAACAAATCCTGCCATTTCCAAGTTGTACTTGGATGAGTCCAAGAGGAAAGATACTTTTAGATCATTACATATTCAATTCAAATAGGCCCATCACTTTAATGAATCATAAGAAGTTTACCATGCAGTAATAGTAAATGAATGCTATAAACTTGCATAGTTAGCATACGAAATTAAATAAGTTGGAATCTCTAGAAAGAAACCCTATGCCAATGCGATTGTAAAACAATCTGTTTTCCAAATATTATTCTTCTCCATGCAGCCAGGTCTGGGTCATCAATTTGCCGGAGCAGTACGCTCTCTGCTGTGTCGGATTAACCAAATTGAATCTAATAGTTTCTTAGCCACTGCAGAGGCTTTAAAATCCTTTGTCTATACTCTTTATGATATAGGTCCATGGTGTTTTTAAGAGTACTGGTGCGCAAGTCAGTATTTCATAAATTTAATTCTAAATCTGTTACGATTCATAGACTCAGCTCAGAGTTCTAGAAATTTTGAGTTGTTACAATCCCAAATTCTGAAAGGTTAGCTCATTACTAAACATGTGTGTATTATTGGAGCAACGCTAGATAATAAAATTTATCATTCATTAATAATAAAACACAAAGGTAAGATGATTTTCAGACAGATACCAATTTTAAAAAGTTAGTTATAACCATATTCAATGCCAAAATATCAATTACTTTCTAAGGATGATTTTACTGATTTAAACACTGTCACTTATAAGTTGTCCTTCTTCATTTACACACTTAAAAGTACGGTGACAAACTGCACAATGGAGGTGGCTTCTCTTTCCGTTACTTACCTAGGTTTTGCCACATGCTGAAAATTTCACAACCCATTGTGACGCGCATGTCACCATACCTGAAATAAAACAGAAAGCAAACCTGATACAAAGTCTTCAAAACAAAGAAGTATTTGTGTCTCTTTGGGACAGAGAAGTATTTTTGTCTCTTCTGAATTAAAAGACACTATGTTTGTAATTAAAGATATTTAATGTAGATGTCTTGATGCTTCTAATGCAAATCCTTATACAAATCCTTTAATGAAATAGATTTGTCCTCTTATTAATTTGCTACTATAATACACTGATTTCTGAAAGATGGAGCTCCCTCACCCCAAAAAAAGTATAAGTAAGTTCAAAATTTCCAGAAAAGACTGCTTGTCCTCTTGCTCATTGCCTCTCCACTGTCATTTCCAGTTACGGATATCTGATTTATGAATCATTTAAACCAAATGCCCTCTTAAAGGCACAACATTTGATTTGCCTCATATTCCCCACCCAATTATACATTGGTACTTACTTTTCTAACACCTTCTTCTTTTTGGAAGGTGTGAACATCTCTAACTGAAGACACAACTGGTTGATAAAAATGACGGCAAGGTAAAAGTAAGAATCCCAAATCTAAAACAAGAACAAAACATTTAAATGCTATAGTTTACAAAAATATTTACAGATTAAGTGACATATCCTGGATTTGCTTCAAAAGTGGTAAGTGGATGGAGGTAGAGTTGAAGTAAGGTTGGCCCCATGTGGATAATAGTTTAATCTGGATACGGGTACACGAGAGTTCATCACACTATTCTCTCTGCTTTTACATATGCTTGAAATTTGCTGTAACAAAGAGGGAAAGCAAATAAATACTACCTATTTCTATACTGCTTCCGGGCCATACCCCAGGTTTCTTAAGGTCCCTGGTGTATATTAAATCCTTTGTTTCTCTTATAATATGTGTGAGGTATAAGTTGGGTTATTTTATTCCTGTGAGAATTCATTTTTGGAAGTCCTTTTAATGGAGAATTAAAAAAAAAAAAGGCATACACTTCTCTGGGTATGCTAATTGCTTTAAATTCAGACAGTATGTAAAAATTCCCTGCCCAGACAAATCTTTTGAGTTTAAGGTTTCTTATACCAAAAACAGCACCAGAAAGAGATCAGAATAAAATTCCCAGAAATAAACTTAACCAAAAACATATGACATAATGGAAGGAAACTACTTCACGGACACCAAGTAAAATTGGAAATAATAAGGAGAAACAGCATAAAGAATTAATATCTTTTATTTATAAAGAGCTCTATAAGCAAAAAATATAAGAATGAGCAAAATAATGAAAAAAGTCAAGAACAGATACTTCACAAACTAAACTAAACTGAAATATGAATTTTAGTCAATAATTTTAGGTTGGTAGACATATAGGAAATCAAATATAATTGGCATAACCCTTAACTCTTTGTTCCACTTATAAATATATCCAAAAAATAATTAAGGATATATGCCAAATCTTACATTGTAAGGCACATAGAGTAATTTCTAAGAATAAAATAGCAGAAACAACTAAATATTAAAAAGCAGAGTTGTAATCATGAAATTTTCATATATTTATTATTGTATGGGATGATATAAAGACATAGTATACAAACTTTAAATTCCATTGGTTTTCACTGATTTGTGCTTTTTTTGGTATTTTCTAGTTATCCAATAGGGACAGTTTATTCAATGTTGAATATGAAAAATGTTATTTAAAAAGAATAGGAAATACAGATGCCAAAACCTGAAAACATCATTAAGAAGGGAAGCCAAAATAGGCATTGCCCATCCTTGTTTACCATTTATCATCTTCCATTTAAATAATAGTATATTAAGAATTATTAAGCGTATCAAATTATATTATAGATGTACCGATAGTTCTGCCTTAAAGAATTTTACCAATCTTTTATTTTGTTTCTTTTCATTAATTCATTCTAAAAAAAATGTGATGGTGGAGAAGTAAAGGAACTGAAGCATTTACTTTGTAAACATTTTCTTCATATAAACTCTACTTTAAAAAAGTCTTAAAAACATATATTCTAAGTTCCCTTTGTCACACGAGGACCGTACAAGAAAGAAGAATGAAAATTTATAGTAACAACAAGAAACTATGTCCGCTTAAGCACTATGATTTCCACTAGGTTGGTAAGCATGATTATAGCCCTATCTTGTTCACGAATATAATGAAAACTTCTAATATTCATCATGAAAGGTAATATAGCCCAAGATTAATTTGGGGTAGGTGGAATAAATATGTCTTCCTATTATTAAGAGAAAGAAAATATGTTAGGTGATTTCCTCAAGTACAAGGTGAAAGATCTCAGCTCAGGCAGGAGAGTCATCCAAATGGATACTTACTTTATAATCAAAGTTTTCATTTAAGAAGTTCTTACGAAGTGCATCAGACAGGTACAGAACTGTTGTAATAATAACACTAGTGACAAAAAAAAAGAGAGAATGTTTTAAATTGGAAACTTTGAATTAGTGAAAATTATTTATTAGATAAGAATAAAAAACAATTAAGGTAGAAGGAGAAAACCTTCAGGGGCACCTGCGTAGCTCAGTCAGTTAAGCATCCAACTCTTGGTTTCAGCTCAGGTCATGATCTCAGGGTCCTGAGATCAAGCCCCGTGTCAGGCTCCATGCTCAGTGTGAAGTCAGCTTGGGATTCTTTCCCTCTCCTTCTCCCTCTGCTTTTCTGCTCCCCTCCCCACCCCACCCCCCAATAAATAAATAAATAAATAAATACTTTTAAAAAAAGGAAAAGAAAAGAAAACCTTCAGGAAGCATGTGGAACAATATTACTTGAATACCACGTGCTAACTTTTTAAAATTTACTTTAAAGTAATCTCCATATTCAACATGGGGCTTGAACTCATTACCTCCAGATCATGAGTCACATGCTCTACAGACTGAGCCAGCCAGGTGTCCCCAACGTGAAACAATCTTAGATGACTTGCATTTGAAACAGGAAAAAGGAACACCAGGCCAAAAAAAAAAAAAAAAAAAAAATCTATCACTGAAGTTGGGTTCTTTGTAAAATGATACCCAGATCTATGAGTTCATATGACTCGGGCAGAAATAGATCAATCTCCTGATGTTTTATAATGCTTTTATTAACTTATGAACAAAGCAAAATGATTAGTCCAAATTTAATATTCCACATTTGATTAACATGGAAGAAAGCCACACTTAGAAAAAATACAGAACAAGAAACTGGAGCCCAAAGATGAAATGGATGAAATGATAGACTATATTGAGAATTTATGAGAGATCTTCTCTCTGTTCTCCCCCGTTTAAGGTATTATGGGGCAGGCAAGAGCTATGGAAGGCAGACTCCCTCTCTCCTGGTGACAGAATGCCACGAAAGAAACCATTACAGAATGTGAAATTGTCTATAATCCAGCACTAAGCTGTGTGAAACTGCTAGTGGGTGGTAAGGTCATTCAGAGAATGGGGCATCTCAGGGCTGGAGAAATTAGGGAAAGATGAATCAACACTCAAAACTGAATGCATATCGAACTGGTTCATTTAATATTACATACAGCATTACACTGAAACAACACAGGTCATTCTCCAAAATATTATATACTAATGGTATATATATGGTTGATCCTGAAAACCTCCTCGGCCTCTGCTGAGACGCATGCCCAGGGGAGTGTTTGTGAGACTTTAGTTCTCAGCACATGACTGCCAATAAAACAAAACACCCCACCGACTTCACACCTTGATTATCTTATTGGTAAAACCTGGACTAGAGGGATATTTACTAATTAGAAGAATATTTACAGTCTTTGAAAGACATAAAGGTTCATTATCGATATCTGCTGGAAAATTCACTATGATAGCCTTTTCCTGGGATAGGGGAATATTAATGAGACTAAGTGGTTGGATGACTGAATGAGAATAGCTCAAGGTAAAGAAAGGGAAGGAGAAGAAAAACCACCATTCCTCAGCCATCTGCTCTACCATGAGGAAGCACATACATTTTATATATGTCAATTACATCTTTCAAAGAATCTTACTGTGAAAGTTAAGTATAAGCAAAGCCCATGAAAATGAAAAGTCCTGTGGTATCTCCAGCTCCCACCCCAAACAGGAGACATCATCAGTGAATATCCTATTAAAGAGATAAATCACCTGCAAGTAACAGTATAAAGTGCCAATTTTCCATAGCCACTAGCAAAATCAATGATGATAACTGAAGAAATCATTAAAATTCCCAAAGTAGTTTCTCTAAAACTTACATTATGAAACTAAAGCTTAATTATCAGATAATGGAATGCTAGCAAGGAGGAAGTAGTTCATCCTTAACACAGGGTTCTAAGCACAAATGTTCTGCTTTGGTATTCAATAGAGAAATACACACAGTCCCACTATGCCTGAGTATCACATAAAAAGACCACTTTCTGGCCATAACCGTAGCAGGCCCATAACCATAACTAGATGAGCACCCAGTGGTAGTGAAACAGGACATATCTGGGATTTAGACTATTGGGCCTAATGTCTTGAAAAGCAGCCAACACATTCAACCTTCCAAGTAAGAGGTTAGTCCACAGCAAAGATGACCCATTTGTTATTTATATGTTGGGTCCCAAACACACAAACAACATCCACAGCTTCCTGAACTGTGCTCGATGGTAAAAAAATATGGAGCCTCTGTGGCCTTATTGTCACCCAGAGAGTCTTAAACTAGGGGCTCTCTGGAATCACCCAGGAGCCTTTAAAATACAGAGAGATACTCCCAGAGATGCTAATGAATGGACTGGGGTACAGCCTGGACAGCAGGAGTGTCAGGACTCCCAGGTGATTCTCAGGTACACCCAGAACCGAGAACCCCTTCTCTAGACAAAGCAGTGCTTCTCAGACTTTAGTGGGTACCCGATGATCTAGTTAAAATTCAGCTTCTGCCTCAGTAGGCTAAGGTGGGGCCTGAGACCCTGCCATTTCTAACAAGCTCCAGGGCATGCTCTTGCTGGTCATCCTTGGTCCACCCTTTGAAGAGCAAGGCTCTCCGGAGGCCTAAGCCAGAAAAACATTCCAACAAACTCTGCTTCACATTCTCCTGGCTTCTAGAATTCTATGCCAGTCATTATATTTGGTAGTTCTTAAATGGGGAATGCAGTCCTTGTTCTAGATTGAACACCTCGTCCTTTCACCAAGGTGGTGTCATCCTTAGGCACCAAGAGGTACAGGGCATAGGACCCATGATCTTTGGAGGAGCTTTGGAAAATGCAAAGACCTGAAAAAATGTTATGGGACCAAAAATTAAAACTGCAAAATAACAACTAAAATTAAGTTCATTACATGTCCACAGAATACAACATTACTTATTTCATTGCTTGTCCAGTTTCATATTTAGGCAACGTCTATTATATTAAAAAAAAAAAAAAAGGATAGGTTACCTTTTATAACTTCACAGGAATTCCTAAACATACAGAAATGCTGAGAAATCACAAGCAAATCGAGTTAAATGACTCACTCATAGGCCAATAATTTAAAAAGCAAAATGTAAAAATTGCTTTTCACTTTCTCTCTTCAGTAAAATGTGGTGTGTGGGTCTATTTAATATGTTTGATATGTTGAGAGGTAAGACCCCCAAAAACAAGACTTCTCAGAACTAGAAGGACCTAAAGTGAGTCTACTTCAAATGCTTTGCATTTATGCTTATAACATTCAGCCAAGTCACGGAGGCAGCTCCCAGAGCTTTGTACAGTAACTCAGCACTGAGTCAGGATCCGGGCACATAGGTCTCCAGGCCAGCTAAAGGCATTTGTACATTATTGTTCCTTCATTGTGGTCAATACCTGGGGTGTTTAGGAATCTTTCTTTATGTGTTCCAGTTTTTCCAAAACCATGTGGCTCCTTTGGTTTTATTCTTTTACTCATGACTTAGTTTCTGAATATAAGGACATCTCAAATCTCAACACTCCACTTCCATAGCCAAGAAAGCTTTGCAATCTGTTACTACAAATGGTCAAATGACTGATGGCTGCCACAGAAGTGTGGGCACAAGGATGACTTCCAACAACCTTCATCTATGGGCATAGCACCACAAAATTTACACATGAAAGAGGAACTGGTGCACAGGAAATCAAAGTTTTTGCTTCAAGATTTCAGCTGCCACCTCATTCTGGCCTTTAGAAAGTTCTGAAGCAAGGATATCTCCCTGCTATTGAAATCTCATCTACTTTAATTTGTCTGTGGTAAACTACCTGGACCTGATAACATGCTTAAGCAAAAGGCCACCTCCACAGATTATACCTGGACTCGGAGAAGCAGCTTGTGGAGAAACTGGGTTTCAACAAGACTAATGTTTACACATTGAAAACCTATGGAATTCTAATCATGGAGAACAACAACTTCCCTACAACCTGGTGGATGAATAGGGGTAGGAGAAATCAACACAAAGACACTGGGGGCAATGGCAAGTCCTTGAAGGTCATTCAGGGAACTGATCTAAGCTAGCAGTCCGCAAGCTTTAGAGTGATTGACAAAATCACCTGGAGGATTTCTAAGACTTTAGGGCCTTACCACCGCCAATGGCCTGGTGAGCTCCAGAGGCGGCCCAATGAGATGATTCTTTTTTTTTTTTTTTTTTTTTTTAAGATTTTTTTTGTTTCTTTATTTATTTGACAGAGAGAGATTACAAGTAGGCAGGGAGAGAGGGAATTGGGGGGGAAGCAGGCTCCCTGCTGAGCAGAGAGACCAATTCGGGGCTTGATCCCAGCACCCCGGGATTATGACCTGAACTGAAGGCAGAGGCTTTAACCCACTGAGCCACCCAGGCACCCCGAATGGGACGATTCTAATGCATGTGATCACCCTGTCTCATTCTGGGGACTGTGTCACAGATGGAGGAGAAGACAGCCAAAGGTTGGAACCTGGAGAGCAGTGACTTTGGGGGATCTGGCCTTGTTAACCACAGCTTCACCAAGCACCTAGCCCACAGTCAGTTTTACTGAATGACTGTAGCCTCACCACTATATCCAAACCTACACTTTGTTGTACTTATTTGCGTACTAGGTAATTCTAAAATGAGAAGCTGGTAAAACATTTTATGCCTTTTTAAAAGCTATTTTGAAGAACGGACTGAAGGCACTCCAAGAGGAGGGCACAGCGTAAGCCAAAATGGAAGCAGGAAATGGAGTGATTGTGCTTTTAGTCAAGGAAGCATGCCGCGTGGGTGAGGAAGAACAAGAAAAGACTGAAACAGAGAGATTTAGGGATTTTAAAAACTCCCTTGACCTTCTCCAATGAGCAGTACCAGCAGAAAGCCACTCATGTGTCAACGGGCTCAGTTTTAGCCCATCAGGCTCAGATCTTGAGGAAGCCTTTCATTCCTGGATTCATTCTTCCTACCAGCTCCTCACAACTCACCAGGACATGGAGTACGCGGGAGGTTCTTGTAAATATTAGCTGTCGCTATTTAAG